TTTTTTTTTTTTTTTTTTTTTTTTTTTTTTTTTTTTTTTTTTTTATTTCTTCGGTCTTCGGTTAGATTCTATTATTACATGCTAACAAGGACAGCGAATCTACCGCGCTGACAACGGGAACGGAAGGAAAGGAATTCCAGGTCAAGGCATGGAAGGAGATCATAGAGATTCTTCAAGAGCAATCTCCAGAAATCAAGGAGTTGGTTGGGGAATGAAGGATAATATAGGTAATATAATTTTAAATTAGACGAAGAAATAAGTTAACCAAACCATAAAACTGTGGGAAAAGATAAATATAGATACAGACTCACATTAGCTCCACCGGGGATTGAGGAGAACCCGAGAACCATACTCAATCAGGACAAACAAATGAATCAGAGAGTGGGATAGGGCTGAGGCGAATCTTTCTTTCAAAAAAGCCTCATTTGATCCCATTTGGATGCCCAAATTCCTCCCCGTTAGTTTGGTGATCTTTTCTCTGCCACCGCGTATTCGTATACACTGATCGCCCCCCTTTGATTCAACATATTAAGACTCTTGGCAATCAGCTTTTCGAACCAGTGCCCCACGCGCTCCGCTTTTGACTGCGAAGAAGCATATGCTAACGCCAACACTAACTCCCTCCTGAAACTCCTGACCAAGTTTCCCGCGTCAGACACCCCCTCAACCTCATTTCCTTAAATACCAACATCCGTTACGTCAGCCGGACAGGCATCGATAGACTACACCATGGCGTACAACCAATCTTACAACCCAGATGCGTTGCCAGCGTAAGTTGAGTTCGCAAGTGATTTTCATGATGCGCCATGGATCGCTAATGTTGCATAAAATGGACCAGACATGCAGAGCCCGAACAGGTACCGACCGAGTGTTTTGGTTTCCCTGATCGACCCCTCCATAACTGACGAAAATAAACGCCAGGTAGCTCAGATGATCGGTGCGATGCAAACTGGCCCTCAGCATCACCAGAGTAAACCGTCTCGGCCATCCCCCAACCCCTCTTCTACTAGTAGTGGAGTCCCGCCTCGCGTTCCTGTTACGAGTGCGCACATGAACAAGCCATTGCCCGCGCCGGTTGCAAACCAACACCAACAGCGGACTCATCCACTGCACCCATCACCACCTCCACAGAACTATGGATTTGGGCCACCTCCGTCCCAGCCTGTGCGCAATCGGCCCCAGCCCTCGTCCCGGCCCCCACGGTCTCCAAATCCGCCTCCGTTGTCGGTCCCGGATGACGATCCGCAACAGCTCTTCCCACTGTTTCGCGCCGCCAACTCATCCCACACCGGTTCACTGACGGAGATGGAGCTGGGCTCCGCTCTGGTGAATGGTGATTTCACTTCGTTTCACCCTAAGACCGTGAAGATGATGATCCGCATGTTTGACCGGAATAGCTCTGGAACGATCTCGTTCGACGAGTTTGTATCGCTATGGCGCTACCTTGCCGCGTGGCGGGAGCTTTTCGATCGATTCGATGCCGACCGTAGCGGGCGCATCAGCCTTCAGGAGTTCGAGAACGCACTTCTCGCATTCGGATACCGACTAAGCAAACCGTTTGTGACGGTGCTTTTCACCACGTTTGAAAGCAAGGGACGGCAGATGAATGGACCTGCTCACCTGGGGAATACGGGAATGAGCTTCGACCTGTTTGTACAGGCGTGTATCAGTCTGAGACGTATGACGGACGTGTTCAAGCGGTATGACGATGACCGCGATGGTTACATTACTGTGAGCTTTGAGGAGTTCTTAACTGGTAAGGGAATTGCGGTGTTCCTCCTCCCTTGACCAGTCGCTGACACAATGGCTACAGAAATCCTGCAACTACAGGACTAGGCGGTAGATAAGGAGTTCTTGTGCATCTCTGCTTTGATCTTTTTTTTCTTTTTTCTTTTTTTTTTCGTGTTTTATCATTATACCCTGTTTATGGAGCATCATAATTCAAGCACCGGGCGATCCAGCAAAAAGTGGTATACAAAGTGTATTCGGTGGACTTGCAAGCTGCCTACTCAAGGTAGTAATTGTTTTGTGTTTAAAGGCTGCATTGACCTGTACTATAGATTGCAGTGTCTCATGATCAGAATACGGACCTGTTGGCAATTGATTTGGTAATAGATAGAAAAACTCCCCTAAACCTTGTTGGGATGCATGTCACTTAGGTCCATGTGGCAAGGAAAATTCTCCCACTTGCATACTAACCGTACCAAGAATTTTTCTGTTAGGGGCAAAATAAGAAATAAATCAGAAGACAGTTGAAAATTAGAATCTCTGATCCCCCAAAGAAAACACTACCATTCATGTACTCCGTACATCTTCATCTCTGTGCCTTTGCATGCCTCGGCGAATCGGTCCTTGAAATCTTTTTAAGTCCGACAGACTCGGCATCTTCCGAAAGGCCGACAATTTAGTTAGTCAAAGTTATAGATACTTACATCGCATTTATAAGTCTCGACCACATCCTCGCTCCCTTTGGTTGGCTCCTTCACGCCGAAATGCCTTAGCAACCACCAGTGGAAATCCATCCAGCGACTGCCCCAGAGTTTTCCCTTTTCGCCTCGTTGTTCTGTGGCTTTTCTTTCCTCGTTCTTTACGTCGATCTTTTACTAACCCTGAGTCACTCGGTCTTTCAACGTCGGATCTGCCCGCCACAACGGATTGGGCGCATTCTTGGTCCCTTTCTCCTCAACGGGGCGTCCAAATCCTCCCCTGTCAAACCAAGTCAAGTCAGGCCAAGTCTGAATTAATCTCATTCTTGACGGGCCGTGCATTCTTGCATCGCGAAGAATGACGGCGCTTTCTCATCCCAGTGATGACCGGGATCAACATGATACCCACACGCCCAGCAATGGTCAGATTGTGACGGACGACAAAATAGCCCCGGCGGAATTGAACCCCAGCTTGGCGGACACCGACACTTCGAATAACCATCGTCAATCTTCAGAGGAAAAGCATTTGGATGAGGCCAACGGTGATGGAACGGTGGAAAAAGAGGCAAATGGCGCTTCGCTGGAACGAGTGCCTTCCCAGGCGCAAAAACTGGGAAAGAAGAAGATTATTGTTGTCATGGCGGCGCTTTGTGTAAGAACGGGCTTTTGCTTTTCTCCTCCTGAAGTGCATCTTTGATCAAATCCCGGCTAACCATGCTGAAACCTATAGTTGGTTCTGTTCTTAGCAGCTTTAGATATGGTAAGTGTCTGGATCGCTCGCATCTGTCGTCATAGTTCGGATGTTTACAGACTGGTATAGACAATTATTTCCACGGCCCTGCCAACAATGGCCTCTCATTTCAATGCATCAGAGAGTGGATATTCATGGATGGCTTCGTCGTATATGCTTGCCAATGCCGCCGCAGTGCCCCTCTGGGGTAAAATTAGTGATATTTGGGGCAGAAAACGGATCCTGTTGCTAGCCAATTTTACTTTCCTCGTAGGTAGTTTGATCTGCGCGTTGGCTATTAATCTGCCGATGATTCTGGTGGGCAGAGCTATTCAAGGTGTTGGAGGCGGTGGTATCATCGTGCTGGTGAATATCTCCGTCTCTGATTTGTTCAGTGTCCGGTAAGTCATGTCCTCTATATGCTTTCTTCCTTTTGATGGAGGGTTGCTAACTCATTTCTGCTTTAGAGAACGGCCGCTGTACTACGGTCTTTTTGGTTCTACGTGGGCAATTGCAGGTGCTCTAGGCCCCATCATTGGAGGCGCCTTCACCACCAACGTTACTTGGCGTTGGTGCTTCTATCTGAATTGTAAGGAAAACGGCGGGCAGTAGACCGGACTATGCTAACATGTCTGACTAGTACCCATTGGAGGCGTTTCTTTTGTTATCCTCGTCCTGTTCCTCAAGATTGAGGCTGAAAAAACTCCGCTTCTAGCTGGTCTAAAATCTATTGATTGGATAGGTGTTGTCTTGATCATGGGAGGAACACTCATGTTCTTGTTTGGCCTGGAGTACGGTGGCATCACTTACCCTTGGGACTCGGCCACCGTCATCTGTCTCATCGTCTTTGGAGTAGTGGCGTGGGCTATCGCCATGATGGTTGAATGGAAGGTCGCAAAATACCCCGTTATACCGATCCGTCTCTTCACGAATTGGCACAACGCCCTGGTCCTTTTTGTCTGCTTCTGCCACAGTTTCGTGTTTATCGCTGGCTCCTTCTACCTCCCGCTCTATTTCCAGACTGTGCTCCTCGCCAATCCTATTATGAGCGGTGTCTACGTGCTTCCGAACGTTCTCAGCCTGTCCTTGACTTCCGCAATCACTGGCTTCATCATTAAAAAGACCGGCCGTTACCACGAGCTTATCGTGGGTGGATTATTCTTCATGACCCTCGGATACGGGCTCCTCATTAACTTGAAATACTACGCCTCGTGGCCTCGTATCATCATCTACCAACTAATCGCCGGCTTTGGCTCCGGCCCCATTTTCCAAGCGCCCCTCGTTGCCCTCCAGGCTAACATCCACCGTGGCGACGTCGCCGCCGGAACCGCTACATTCGGCTTCCTCCGCCAAACCTCCGCTGCCATGTCCATCGTCCTCGGTACCGTCGTGTATCAAAATGTCCTCCAGCAGCAAATGCCCAAGATCTCAGCCGCGATCGGGTCCGAGAAAGCCACCGCGCTCGCCTCCTCCTTCTCCGGCTCCCAGGGCGACCTCATAAAAGCGCTCCCAAAAGCCCAGCAGAGCGTCGTCCTGAAAGCATACACCTTCACCCTGAGCCGGATGTGGATCTTCTACACGGCCATCATCGGCTTCGGGCTACTCGTCAGTCTATTCATCCGACCCGTCGAGCTCAGCAAGGCACACACCTTCACCAAGACGGGACTAGCGGAGCAAGAGCGCGCAAGACAAGAGATCCTCGCCGCGCAAAGAGGCGAGATTCAGCCCGAATCGAAGGAGACCGTTTAAAACCCCCCTAGTCATCTCATCCCTTCTACGCCAACGGGTCATCCCCCATCCCCTCCCTTTCTTACTTCCCATAAACCTACACGCTACAGTCTACACGCATAATAGACCCTTCTCACTTTTCTTTCAATACTGTCGCCCCCCCCCCCCCAACCCCCCTATCCTCAAAATAATCGGAGTTGCTGATACTCCTGGCGGGTATTATGAGCATGTCAGACCGTGGAAAAAAGTTTGCTGGTTTTCTGTTTTCGCCTTTCGGTTTATCTTAATGTCTTGCTATACCCACTTCAACAAGGAGGCTTAATGGCTGGAGTTGCTCAAATAGTGTATATTGGATTGGAACATGATGAACTGGAGTAAATACGTACTGTACATGCACATACAGATACAGCGCAGAGAATGCCATCGAAGAGTATAATCAAGTTTGAAGAAAAGAATTTGCTCCGCACGTTTTTCACATAATAAGACCAACCAAAGCTAATGATCATCCTCTTACCTTACCTATGTAGTACCGCAGAAGCTCCTAGGAATGACATCACTGCTTCGCAACCGGAGGCTTTCGGATAACCTTATTCCATGTTAGTTACACGCAATCTGATTGTTCAGTGAGTAGTTAACTAGTTAGTTAGTTACCACTATTTATACTTAGTAAAGTTGTACACCTTGCATCTTGCTACTATTTTCGATTCAAGTACAAATGAGGTATATGTGTACTTGGTTTGTGCCAAGTTGATGTATCGCTGCTCATTGTTTGGGACCGCAAACTTAATCTGAACTTTATCGGCAATGACGTCCGTGTACGCCGGTTTAGGCAGTCGATCGTAGATTCCAGTTCTGTTCAATTGGTACCGGGCTTTAGGTTTAACTCGGATGATCCACCGTAGCATAGATGGAGCAAGTCGCTTAGCTTTTCTTGGTCGTTCTACTGCGTATAAAAGAGACGTATATGGCAGTTGAACCCACCAGAGAATACACAATATCCCACTTGGCCGAAAGAAATATCGTGTTCCAGATTTTTATTCCTATTCAAACATCCTTATATACATTACCGAATTTAGAAAAAAAAAAAAAAAAAAAAAAAAAAAAAAAAAAAAAAAAAAAAAAAACTGAAACGCCATCCCCAAGTGATTATTGAAAGAAAGCAAAAGGTTGTTCTGTCCTGGTCAAGAGATGGGAAAGAGAGAGACTGAGAATCTCATGCGGAAAGAGCTTTTCGAAAACAAGCGCTTAAGGCAGGGTTGCCAATAAGATCCAACGGCAAAAGGAAGGGGTATAACAGTGGAAAGGAAGCGGAAGCCACGGCGAAAGTAGAGAGGACTGGAAAGGGGAAAGGATATCCAATAAACAAAAGAGACATATCCAACTCGCTCACCCGATTAGGTATTAATACCTTCCTTAACGCCACACGATGCCATAGTTGAGACAGTGAAAGAAAGAACAAGACCGCAATCATCAATATAGACAACAAGGGAGGCTATGTCTTTGCCTTTTTCGTTGCCCCTTCCGCGTTTGGTCCACTATCAGGGCTCTTGCGCTTCTTTTCTTGATCGTCTTCTCGCGCAAAGCTGGGGCCTGTTTGAACGGCGGGAGTGGGAAAGGTCAGAGGACTAGGAAGCATATTACTGTCCGGACCAGACCGGCCAAACCCCCATTCAGGGAAGAAACTAGATGGAGAAGGAAGAAGCGCATCTGACACGAAGCGGCTAGGAAGTGCAGATATCGGAGTGTCTATATTGTTGTTATTGCCGCCGCCGCTGTTGTTACTACTATATGCATTGTTATTCGGAGCAGCGGTGCTAGGGGGAGGTGGCCGGGCAAATGGATTCGGTGGTCCCTGAGCGCCTGCACTGAGAATTGCACCGGCAGAAGGCGAAGGCGGAGGTAGCACTACACCGGAATGGTTGCCGTCAGGATTAGCTTTCGCTGGTGTAAGTGTCTTATTCCCTGCGGAATCGCGGGAGGATGAATCTGCTGTTGCGCTGCCCCGATCCGAATTCTCGCTGGGTATTTGCACCTTTAGCTGTGGACGTTTCGTATTTAACTGACCGCTGTTCGTCCGAACAGGAGGCTTGATCTCAGGCACCGGCTGAGGACGAGGCGCTTCAGTCGCGGCTCGTGGTGGAGGTGGAGGCGCCACTGGTTGGCTGAGTCCCTTTTTGTCCTTAGATTCGTTATGTGAAGATTCAAGCTTCACGTGTAAGTTCTCACTGCGCGGCGACGTAGGTGGACCGACTCCAAAGTGACGAGCCAAGACAGAACCACGATCATCAATCGGCGTAAAGATACTACGTGATTTTGATGATATCGACCTTTGCTGCGGCGGCGACTGACTGTCTTCGCCTTTCATCGATCCAGGCATCTGGTCCGCTGGAGGAGCCTCGGGAAGCGATACCGTTCGCTGTTGTTGTTGTTGCGTGGGTTGTTGTTGCTGCTGCTGCTGCTGTTGCTCCGACGGGAACGCGGGCGGCATGGAACTCCTTCCCTGTTCCGGCATAAATGCCTGGGCGACCTGGGACATTTGCGGATGGGGTGGTTGTGATAAACCCATTGGAGGTGTTTGCTGTGCAAGGATATGCGGATGCTGGGGGTGCTGTTGAATATGCGGTGGAATGGCCTGGGGCGGCATTGTGTGCGGCGGTATGGATTGCGGCGGCATAGGCTGATGCTGATGATGCGGGGCTGCATGATGTACGCCGTGCGGAGGGCCAAAGTGTGCAAACTGACCGGGTCGGGGTTGTTGACCTAAAGCATGGTGGGCATTCGGATTATACACGGAAGGGTTAGCCATATAGGCAAATCCATTCTGAGGTGGCGGTGGTGTGGCATGATGTTGCTGTGTACCGATATTGGAGCTGACTCTGCGAACATGATTCCTGGAGGATGGTCTTGAAAGTCCTTGAGGTTGAGGGGTACCGTGACGCGGATCAAACGGCAATCCATTGCCAATGGGAGGGGACGCGGAAGGCGCATGATTAACATGTTGGAAGCCGGGATGACTGGGGAGATGAGTGGGTATCATCGGTGGGTTATTTTGCGGTGGTGTTGGATGCATTTCTTCAGGGGCAGGTGTGGTCTCGTCTTCATCGTCGTCATCATCGCGCCGGCCGTTGAAGTCCTCAGGGCCTTTATGCTCGTGTGGCGGGCCGAACTAAAGGCAAAGTATGCCATGTTAATACGATGACTCGGCATAATACAGTTGGAGAGAGAGACGAACATATTGATAACGACCCAAGGTCTCGCGCATATCACATGATGAGAATTCATATAGCTTCTTGTTGTGACCGAATATAATGACAGCAACATCTACTGAACATAGCACCGCAAGCTCATGTGCCTTCTTAAAAAGACCACCCTTCCGTTTCAGAAAAGTACTAAAGACCAGGGCATCATGTTAGCTCCTTAAATTCCACGCAGCGAGAAAGCATAGGCATGGGACTTACACTGAACGGTTGCGATCATCCTTGATCGCCTTGATCTCGATCTTTCGCCGACCCATGAGGTATACAGTGTGAGCGTATCACACAAGGGTAAAGGGCGTAGGTGAAACACCGAAGGCAGGATCAATAGCGAGTAGACGTGAGGTTATGCGTCTTTGTATGAATTAGTGGCGCGAGTTGAAACCCAGGGAAGCGCCCAAAAAAAAAAAAAAAAAAAGAATCCAGAGCGCGGTGGAATAAACGACTGTGTTTGCTAGGCTCCTTTCTTAGATTTCCCCCCCTTAATTTTCTTTTTAATTTTAAAAGACAGGAAGATTAAAAAAGAATAACAAAAATAACGAAAGGCTATAAACAAAACGTTTCAATCTCTCCCAAAAGAAGTGGGGACAAAGAAGCAGATGAAAAAGAATGCGAGGGTACAGATAGACAAGAGGGGTGAGATTGGCACAGCGCTATTTGGAGGGATGAACCAACGGAGCGCGTAAAGGCGACGGCGTCTTACCGGTCGGAGGAAGAACAAGGGACCCCCTTATGCAGGCAGGGACTAGAGGAACCTCAGGTCACCAAGGTGAAAACGAGAGACAGAACAACAGATAAGATGAGCCAAAGTCAATTCTGGGATGGGATACGAAGGATGGATGGATGAGAAAGGCTGGATGGTTGGAGCGGCGACACGCGGGTGATGCAGAAGATTCTAAAGATAGACATCGACTGTGGGAAACTTCTTAATCACTGGACCTGTCGGCGGCTACGGGCAGCCGCCGTTGGCGAGCTTCTAACCGCCGCCCGGGCTATTTATAGATCCGTTGCTGACTGCTCCATGAACCCCAACCACTAGGTACATATACCGATCACTCCGCCTCCTTGTGGTCCAGGTTTTTTGATCGATATCTCCTGGTCCCGATGAAACCTTAGTTCACTCTTCGGATGCGCTGTTCTGGCTTATCACCATTCTCAATACAATCCAATGAGGTTGCTGTCCTACCGAGAGTAGAGTTACGTCCGGGTTTCACTAATCAGGTCCATCTCACGTTGACAACTCCAAGGGTGGCGTGCCAGTAACGATTTCATGAAGTCGATTTTGTCCGCTCTCATCATGCTGTACTTTATGATCATCCCCGCTAATAAGAAGGCCATCTTGAGCTCGCATTGACCCTCTCCAAAGCAAGCCTAAAGACTAAGTAGTTAGACTAGCCGGTGGTGCCAGCTATGGGCTTGACCGCCTGCACAAGGATGGAGGCATCAAGATACATGCCTGAGGCAGATGTTATCCAATTACCTAACCAGTTTAGTCCCTTAAACTCGACACGGGTCCAGACTTTCAAATTTGCAGCCGCGTTCCTTCGGCCTTCGTCGGACTAGGCGGTCAAGGGCCCGCTGCTTTATCAGGGTGGTGGATAACGGATCATTGGGTTGAACTGGCAGAATCGCTCCAGCTGAACCCCTTTACCCGTTGATTGGACCGTCTTCCATGACCAGTCACGATGATCAACTCCATGGATTTGATCTGTCGCCTCGCATATTCTGGTGTCAAGGCAAAAAGCCAGGCATCGATGTGAGACGAAGAATTGGGTAATGGTATTTGATTCTGATTCTACGGAGTCGTGTTGTTTTTCTTTGGTGTATTTTGCTCTTGATGAGATACGTCGGATGTATGTCGACGACGTTGATAAGCAGGGAACAGTTGTCATACAACCAAGTCGAGTCATGCGCCCCTACTAAACGTACATATGCAGTGTCCATCTCTGGATACGGTTGATTGATTGGTTATAGATCTACTCCATACCTAATATACATCATGAATTCTACCTAACTGGAGCGACCGACATGGACGCAAATTCTCTGTTCATGGTTGGGTACGAAAGAGGTTACTACCGACTTACTGTATGGATCCGACTCCATGGTATGATACGGTATTCTGCCTAACCTCTTTTTGCTCGACCCTGATACCTTAAATTTTAGCATGGCATCATCCTGGCCACCAGGTTTCAAGAAGGAGGGGAGAATTTAATTAACACCAGGCCATTTCTTTCCATATCCTCAAAACTGGCGTCGAACTCTTCCTGGTTCATCCTTTCTAGGAAGGTTTTGAAGGTATGGGAAAAGAAAAAAAAAAAAAAACTTTGGGTAGCGGATCGTGAACAATGAATGAACCGGCGTTCGTCTGGTCCTCTTGGATTCCAAGCCAATTAATTGGCGTCGATGGAGGGCGACTGAACCATGGATAGAGCAATGGGCTCGGGGGGTATTATTATTTCACCCCTGAAACGAGCAACACAGTAGATCCTCATCATCAATCGTCCTTTCCAATCAACCTCTTCTACCTCATCGCTTTTTCCTTTTTCTTCTCTCCTGTCCCTCTCCTTCTCTTCCTCCCATTATATCTTCTTCTTCTTTTTTTTTTTCGCCGTTATTAATTTTGTTTTACTCCGATTCATTCTGCCCGTCGGTCTTACCAGCTCCACATTCCAAGCTTAAAAAAACGTGGAGATTGCACTCGTTACTATTCAATTTCCCAAATTCTCTGTAGGTCGATTGTGGCCTTATTGCCATTAGTACAGTATCGCTGCACGCTAGACGTGCTGCCCCGTCTGGGCTGCAGGCGATTCTCTGACCACCTGAATGTCCTCCTACTAATTCGATTGATCTTTTATTTTTTTGATCCATTTCAGTTCATTTTTATTTTTCTCTTCTTGTCTAATTTTTTTTATTTCTCTTTCTCTTTTTTTGTCTTTCTTAGACTCCAATCTATTGAATCAACTTAAGAAGTCTTTCCCTTTTGGTTTTACACCTCATTTTCCTTAGCCTGTTATTTATACGGCTTTTCTCCTATTAATCTACAGCCGGTTGCCTACTCACACGGTCGAGCGTGGAATCGTGAAGTCTTCCTCTTTAGATTCGCTAATCGACTCGTCTTAAGACGGCCACTTCTTGACCGTGCCTTAGAAGGTCGACTTCCCCAACTTAATACTTAGTCGCACCTTTCACCTCAGGAGTTCAAGAAGCGCAAGGTGAAAATGCCGTTTCTCGCCCGCGTTTTTCGAATCAAGGACTCTCATACTCCCAAAAAGACCAAAGCTCCTGTGGTAGAAAATAATGGCCCTCCCAAGCCAAAATGGACCGACGCGTGGCAGCGAACTGAAGTGTCTCCGGAAGAAGTCCAGGATCTCCTGCGAGGTTGTACGCAAGAGTTGAAAGCCCGAGGTAGGTTTACCTTCTTTTTTTTTTTTTTTCTGTACCCCCTGACGTCAATGCCCCTCCGTCGACAATTTGCGATAGGCGCATTCTTCAAGTTGCTGATCATTGCCACGCTTTGTCCTCAACAGGTCTCCAAACACCTTTCCTACTATTACCCTTCCGGCCAGCCTCCGACGCCAGCGCTGCACGTACATTCATCCGCAACTACTTCAATCAAGCCCAGGCGAAAGGCTCGCCTCCTAAGGGAGATGCCTTGGCGCAAGAGCTCCGACTGACGGACCCAATTGTAAGCCACCCCCGAACCCCTTATGCGACGGGCTCAATTACCTTTGTATCCATTGTCTCCGCTTACACGGGTATCTCAGGTCCTCTGTAGTGTACTAAAGTGGTGCTGGAGCAGACTTCCTGGTGGAGTTGTCACATGGGACGCCTACGAATTGTTTAGAATTGGTGAACAAGGTCCGTATTCAGATGTCTCCGACGCATAGCGGTGGTGTATGCTTATTAAATTACAGATTCTCAGCTTGCCCGCGATGCATTCTCAACGTTCATCCCCATTAGCGTTGACTCAGATGCCAGGTCTAAGATCATTTTCGACTTCTTCGATCTTTTAACCGCGATTGCGGCGCATGGGAAGTCCAACGGCCTGGGAGGACGAAAACTCTCTCGGTATGCCGGGTGGTGGGCATTTGAACATACAGACACTGGCAATGGGTTTGAAGCGGCCTACAAGGACTGGGCAAGGTATGTAGTACTGACGCCAAACGATAAGTAATGGCTGGTTAACTCCTTGTAGCGCCGCGGATGCGACAAGCCACTTGTTCTTCGCATACCTACGTTCGCTGTCCCCTGACTCGCCGCGCGGGATGAGCAGTATCTCTACCCTACCCATTGCTTTGCAAACATTGCTTCAAGCCACGGAATACCCGCCGGAGACGCCAGCGCTTCTTCAAGTCTCTACCACTAAAGTTGTCATGATTGTCGACACTGTGTCTGCCACCCCTTTTGCTCTTTTACGCCGCGCAAAGAATTTCGAGTATCGAGACAGCGATAGTCACCTGCAGAAATTTGCTAGCTTCGAAGACCCCCTCCAAGCGCTGACGGATGAATGTCTCCGTGTACTGAAATGCATCTCGTCTACAAATCAATCGGTTGAATCGGATCCAACCTCCGCGACCAGAGAAGCATCGTGGTCCAGGTTTGAAGATCTAGGTTTCGGGGCCACGGATGTTGACGACGACAGAACGTCGAGCATGGTGTCAAAGGAGTTCGGTGGCGGTCTGAGGTCTGTTCCTCAGTCTGGTGGAGGCGATCTCGGTCGTCCAACAACTCCCTCATGGGCAGACTTCATGTCTTCTGGTTTCAGTGATGACAACGTCTTCAAAGGTCCAGTGGCACCGGTGCTGCTCCCTCCCGATAAGGTATTGCCCCCCATCAATACTATTCGAGGCCAAAGCTCGCAGTCCCATAAGCGTACTTTGAATACTGAGCCGTCCGTGGACCCCGGTGAATTGGCTAGTATCACCACTCTTGATCTGGATGACTCATTCTGGTGGGTGTGGATTAGCAGTTTGGCAGGGGAGGAACCAGCTTCCCGAAAGGCAGTCTTTGGGCGATGTGCATTGCTCGAGACTGTCATCAAGAATACGAAGTGGCTTGTCCTGGAGGAGCAGGTTAAAGGCGCGGCACCGGAGCCCGAGCCTGGTGCTTATATCGTCGAGAAGAAGGGTTTCTTCGGGTTTTCCACGCGCAAGAGACTCGGGCGTCGCAAGTCCTTAGCCAAAAAGGTTAGCGCGGTAGAGGAGTCTTACAAGCGGCCTGATAACCAAGGACCGCAAAGTAAGACCAGCATCGGTCCTGACCAGCATGCTCGTATTCAGGCTGCCGCCGCCGCCCTTCAAAGAAAGCATCGGGAGCAAGAAGAAGCCGCGTCCGCACAATCTAGAAACAATATTCGGGATACCACTTACTCGAAGACCAATTCTGTTATGACTCTGCAGCCGGCCATTTTGAACGAAGCATCGCATGCTTTGAAATGGGCCAGTAACTACGACAAGGGCAAGAATGCGTACAAAGCCGCTTATATGGAGAATAGCCTTGCGGGAACTGGTGCTCCGGTAGATGAAGTAAAGGAGGCCTCAAGGGAAAATCTGAGCCCGCCTTTGTCTCCAGCCCTCAGTACCAGTACCCGACAGGCTCCCCCGCCTCTACCCAAGGATGATGTTCGTAGCTCTCCAGCGCCCGCAACACCTCAGAAGGATAGCTTTACTGGTGACCGAGACGCCAGTGGTCGGAAAGATAGTTCCAGTGCTCCTGTGGAACAGTCGGCCACTGAGCCGCTTCGCAAGTCCACGGATTTAGCAGAGGATCCATCCAATAAATTAAAGAAGAAGCCTCCTACTATGGGAATCAAGAGTATGTTTGGGACAACGAAGAGGAAGCCTGAACCTGAAGCAAGACCGCCAATGAAGTCTACGGGTGCCGGGGGGTCCGCTGTGGCTGCTGCACGTGCTGCCCTGGAGGATAAGGCAAAGGCATCCCAAGAACCGGTTGTCCGTCCATCCACCCTGAAGAAGAAGCCTGTGCCTGGGGTATCAACCGCAGAAACACCGAAGCCTGTGGTCGAAGCTCCAGCTACTCCCAAGCCTGTTACTGAAACACCGAAGCCTGAACAGCCGGAGGCCAAGATTCAGCAAGAGGCAAGAGTGCAGCCAGAACCCCATGTCTCCGCATCAAACAGCGACTACCATAGTAGCCAGCGGCAAGCCGAATACGATGCCCTTTCACGCGTAAATACCAACGAACGCACCACAGCCGATAGTGAGTTCTCGAGATTTGATCAAGGGCCTTTGGTGGAGCAGCCGGCGTTTGTTCCAGAGGATTCGCCTGTGTCCGATACGTTCTCAGAGAAGGAACCTGTCGACAGCGCACCGGCTGAAGCCAAGGATGAAGTTAGCCCTCCCTCTCAGGCCAATCCTTCCCATGATCGGTGGGCACAGATTCGTAAAAATGCCGCCGAAAGAGCCGCCCAGTTTGAGCATATGCGGATGAACGAAGACGACGGTGGCAACACAAGCGAAGAAGAAAGTAAGTAACGCAAGCCTCCATAATAGCAGTCGTCCATTGTACTAATGTTGTATCATTAAGGCTTCGATGCTCGCGCGGCTCGGATCAAGGCCAGGGTGGCCGAACTGACCGGCAAAATGGCTTAATTCATACTTGAATCCTTTATTCATTCTTGAGTACCAGTCACTTTTATCTTTCGTCTTTTGATGCACATCATCTGTTCCTATACCTTGTACCACCTGTTTAATCTCTATACGGCCTCGACAATTTCCAATATCTGTTGCAGGCTCTGTTTTCTTTTGATTGCCCGCGTTTGGGTCTGGCCTCCATAAAATTCCGATTCACATGACAAGAGCACAGGCTCTGATAGCGAAGGATGACGGACGCGCGCCATGAACGGACGACTCTGTTGTAACATCATCCCTGGCTTATTAGTTCATCGAGGGAAGGATATTCATGTTGTGGCGATTCCCCTTTTCAATTGTTTTGAGCTTATCGTTTTATTCCCCTTCCTGTTTATTGATTGTCTTTTGTTTATTTATTTACTTTTTTCACTTTTCTTTCACACTTTGAATTACCGATATACCTTAGCCGACTATCGCTATAAATCAAGCTCAATTTTAGTACATCTCCGGTGTAAATTACTTCGCGGGTCTTTACAATCTTCATCCCTTTCTTCTTCGGCACTTGGGTAGGATAAATGTTACCCAACTGATATTAATGGTGACTATTTAAGATTGTCGGCGTACCCCCCAACTTATTGAGTGCCAGGGAAACTTGGGATTGTGTCGTAGAATGGTGGTATGTAGAATTGAGTTGAGAACATATATCATCGAAGGTACATACCCTAATCATTATATTCATGAAGTAAATTACCATTAGGTCAAGAGTATCGTATAGTACATTATAATTATCATTATCTCAATAATATATACCGTCGTATGCCAATATGTATGTGGCGAACAAATCCCCCAAATATGTCAAGGCCAATCAATCATCAGCGCAGGCTCAGTCGGTCTGTGCCTGAAAAATGCCACTTCAGACATGTCCCATATACTCACAAATAATACATCGCTGAATGAATCTGGGTATCAGATAGTATAATATCAGAGAGTCTAAAGTAGACTCTCTTTTCATCGTGATAGAAAAGATATACCGTAGAAGAGAGAAAGCCACGATCACTATCGAGTGTGACGTAGGCGTCGAGTCGCTTCAATGGCCACAAGCGTACTTAGCGCGCCAATAAACAGACAGATCGAGATGGCATTGGGCGAACCCTTATCGAGGTTCATCCATTGCGTCTCCGAGGCATCTCGCTTTGTGCTACCTGGCTCGATAACACTGAATACTATCCAGCTGATGAATGTGCCGACGAATTGTGGCAGTGTCGTGTACACATTCAGCACGCCTAGGTAAATGCCAGCCAATTCACCTGTTGATGGTAGATCGGAGGCACCACCCTCTGTGTCACTATCGCTGTCTGTGTCGTTGTGGTTGAGACGCAGCACGTCCATCTCCGTATCTCCATTTCTATCACCGTAAGCCCCAGAACGGATACTGGAAGATGTGATCATAGTGACACCGGCCAGACGCGATGCTTGAGTTGGGCCTAGGGCCAGCTTGTTTATCTCCACACCCATGAAGGCGAAAGGGGCCCAGCTGCTGACCGCCCACGGAATTCCACACAAGGCTACTAAAAAGGTTGCAAATGCCCGGGATCGGGCCAAAGGTGCGAAGATCATAGTAGCTGCAAACATCACGTGGGAGATCAACCAGGTCGTCTGCAAGTCCGGTCGTATCAAAGCGATCTTCTTCAGCAAGGCGGCAATCCCTGGAGGGGGTCGTGGTGTAAATCGGGGTCTCCTGTCATCCGGAGGCTGTACGCAGAATGGCAACAGAACAGAGCTGAAGAATGTTATGGATGAAAAGACGACCAGTGACAAACTGCCAACTCGGCCAACCTCGCCAAGCATGTCGGTCGGATACGTCGCATCCTTTGGAACCTCATAACGGAAATATGTCTCACCAACCCAGGTGGTGCTGTAGAAAAGGAATGGAAACCAGCCTGGTATAGATTAGCGAGGGTTGTATCAAAGTTTTCACAAGGATGTCTATACCAATCCACGCCCAAAATTGAGCCCAGCAGATGGCTTGGATGCGGGGAGGCAAGTCCATTGTAGTTTTGAATAATTGAGACATGACCTGGAAAGCCCCGGCCTTACCTTCGGAGTCTCTGTCCCACAAGTCAACGAACCGCATCTGGGGCGTATCCTCAGTCATCTACTCACCTAGCAGTAATCAATATCCTCTCCTTCACCGCATAACAAGTGACCAGAACAGAGATGAGTAAGGATAGCGCAGCGATAACTGTCATCTGCTTAAACTGAGTATCGCCAATTGTGGTGCCAAATATGCTAACTGTATCGATTGATCCGATAACATAACTAATGAGCTGGCCAATGGCTGACATTCTAGTGGCTTTGGGATATTAGATCAGTCATTCGCATTCGGCAATGGGCAAAAAACATACCCCATGCTGACCCAGCCTGCTGTGATGGGATAGGCAATGTATCAACTATCAAGCTCCGACAACACGCTTGGACTAGACGCTGTTAGATAGCACTTGAGATTTCCTTGGTACCCACACCCACCGATATTGATGGCAAAATCTACGGCATAAATGCTAAGGACCGCTAGCGCAATGGTAACTCGGTTGGCCTAGTAAATGATCCACATGTAAGCTCTTGCTTAAAATTCAGCGTGCTTCTCAACCTACCTTTTCTGCCTCCTTGACAAAAAGACCGACAATCTCTGAGGTCCATCCCAGCACTAACAAACACATCGCGACGATCAATGAGCCTACAATCATGAATGGCCTTCGTCTTCCCCATTTCGATCGCGACCGATCAGCAATGACCCCAATGAGAGGCTGGATAATCAACCCAGACAAAGGACCAGCGATCCAGACAAGTGATGTTCGAGATTTAGTGAGGCCGAGCTGGAGAAGATACGGAGTGCAGTCTATGTCGAGTAGGTCTGATTAGAGGACGGTTCGGCGGCGGAGTAGAAAAGGTCTTACAGGTCATTTCAATGCCCCAAGTAAACCTGCACCATAGACATCTTAGCGGATCATGTTCATCACAGGCAGTGTAGATACCGACAATGATGGTCAACGTACTGTAACCCTAACAGACTAAACGTCAAGAGTGCCATGCGCATTGCCTCTGTTCGTCCCTTGATGGAGGGCGAACCCACCCATCTTGCAGCTTGTGGCATCCTTAATTATATCGCTGGATGCTTGCATGTAATTGACGCTCTCTGAAATCCTCGATTTTCCATGAAATGGACTAGGTCCACCTGGTCTCGTGCCTACGATCAGGCAACCACACGTTCTAAAGCAGTCGACAGGTTCTCGATTCAATCGGGGAATATAAGAGTCTGGGCGGCAATTGCGAGGTGTAAGGGCTCCTATGAGCTTAAACTCGACGAGTAATCAACAGTCGGCGGTAGAGGTTGGAGGAGGATTGCGCTCGTCGCAGTGTCTGTCTGTGATAAAAAAAGAATAGCATGGGAGGATGCAACGCAGATCCAATGGCGGGAACAATGTCGTGGAAGCCTCGAAGACTGATGGACGGAAGCGCGAAAGCGGTGCTCTATACCGGGAATTAATCTGATGAGAGGGTCAATCGCATGTAAAAGCAAAGAGCGCCTGGAGAAAATTGAGGCACCAAGGGAAGAAAGGAAAGAAAGGAAAGAAGGAAAAGGAAAGTCACGGGCGGGACCCAGACCACAGACGCATGCGGGCCCCCGGGAACGTCAGGGCAGAATTCAATCAATCTTATCGGCAGCAGGCTATGAAATTTAATCTTACCAGACCCACAAGGGACCTGAAAGGGTGGTTTATAAATAGCTGATCATGAACTCTCAAATGAACATCGACATTTTACCAGGCGACTGACTCGTACGTAATGCTAATCTTATTCATCTACAGGGATCCAGGGGTATGTTCTTTTTTTTTTTTTTTTCTTTTAAAATGTCCTCGTTGTCCCCGCCAAGTCTTAGAATCGGCTTGGCCTCTTTTCCTGGAGAACAACGACGCGAGGTCTGCGCATCTTTCGTGATCTCGTAATATTCACTTGATTCGTTTCTAGAGTTGGGTGGTAAAAATGGATTTACTCCGTCATTGCCGGCCCACCGATTGTTTAAAAAAGCCGCCTACTCAAACCGAAATTCCCAAACATACCATAACAATAAAAACAAACTCAGTCATGCTGCATTAGTATCCTTGCCCCTTTTTGTCCTTTTTACATTCTCGTTAGCCTCATAAGCCTTCCCCGTCTACAGACGGTTGGGGGTGGAAGTCAAGGGCCACTGGTAGCCAGCAGCATCGCTGAACTTGTAGCCGAACGAGGCAGTGAAATCGTCGAGAACGGCAGGTCCACGGGAGCCTAGTCCACCGTTAGTCACAAAAACTCACATACTATATGCAACACAGATCCAGAACATACCGTAGGGGTACTCCATAGGGATGATCTCCTTGTTATCGTCAAGGTAGTGCAGGAGAGGTGTGAAGATTCTCCAGCTGGCGTCAAGCTCGTCATCACGCACGAAGTTCGAGTGATCGCCCTTCAGGGCGTCCAGAATCAAAGACTCATAAGCCTCGGGGATCTTAAGGTCGGAGAAGCGACGGCGGTAGGTGAGGTCAAGCTCAGTCACGACAGTCTGCATGGAGAGGCCAGGAAGCTTCGAGTTCATCTTAATGTACACGGACTCGTTGGGCTGAACACGGATGACGAGCTCGTTGCGAGGAATGTCCTTGAAGATGCCCGAAGTCACGTCGCGGAACTGAATACGGATCTCGGTCTTTTGCTCGTTCAGGGCTGGGGACTGTAAGCATGCAAGCAACGCAGGGAGAGTAAAGGATAGAGTGTACCTTTGCCGGCCTTCATGATGAAAGGAACACCGTCCCACCGCTCGTTCTTGATGTATGCGACTAATGCGCAGAAAGTGGGGCAGCGAGAATCCTGAGGGACAGTCTCGTCCTCTTTGTATGCGGGCTTGCTTCCATCCAAAGACTTTCCGTATTGACCGATGATGACGTTCTTGGGCTCAATGGCGTCCATCGCGCGCAGAACACGCACCTACTAATGCATCAATATCAGAACGGAGGATGGCTGGGTTAAAAGAAACCGTTACCTTCTCGTCACGAATATCCTCGGCGGAGAATGAGATGGGGCGCTCCATAGCGAGCAAAGTCAATACCTGCAACAAGTCTGCAGCAAAGAGGTCAGCTTTCTTGCCAGCATGTGGGAACAAACAACGTGTTACATACGGTTCTGCATAACGTCACGAATGATACCGAACTCGTCGAAGTAGCCGCCACGACCCTCAGTGCCGAAGGGCTCCTTAAATGTGATCTGGAGCAAGTTATTTAGTAAATAGCCAGGCCAAACGGAGCAATTATCCGATTCGTACCTGCACATTATCGATGTGATGACGGTTCCAGGTGGCGTTGAAGAATTCGTTGCCGAAGCGCATAATAAGGATGTTCTTGACCATCTCCTTGCCCAGGTAGTGGTCAATACGGAAGATCTCCTCTTCCTTCCAGTTGGGGTCGAGCGCCTTCTGGAGATCACGCGAGCTCTGCAAGTCCTTGCCGAAAGGCTTCTCAACCTATAACAAATAAAGCACACATGAGCAACCGTTTTTGCTGAAGACGACGGTATAAGGGACGACTCACGATAATACGAGCGATACCGTTCTTAGGGTAGCAGTTTCTCTTTAATTGCTCCGACACGGTAGTAAAAACGCTGGGGGGAAGAGCCATGTAGAAGACACGGTTCTGCTCCTTCTGACCCTTCTCGATATCCTCGAGGTGCCTAGTGAGGTTCTGGAAAGCCTCATCCTTGTCGTATTGACCCGAGACGTAGGAGCATAGTTGGCAGAAGCTGTCCAGCTGCTCTTCGATTTCCTTAGTAGGGGTCTTAATATACGACCGCACACGTCTCAGATATTCTTCGTGGTCCATTTTTGTCCGGGCATAGCCGACAATCTTAATTCCTTTGGGAAGGAACTTGTTACGATACTAGATGCAGGGTCAGCCAGGGAAACAAGGTTACCTAACCCCTCATTAGAGGACTAGCCTGCAGGTACATACAAGGCCGAAAAGTGCCGGGAACTATGAGAGACATTAGCTTCCGATTTCTTGCACCAAGCTTCGCAGGATTACCCACCGTCTTCTTCTTCGCGAGATCTCCCGAGGCACCAAGTACTACAATGGCAGTGTCATCTTTAAGCTCGAGGGTGCTAAGCGAAATATCCATGTTAGCAGCGAATTAGAGGCAGTTGCAGAACAGGGATTGTGGATAATGTATGTCGATCAACGGGAGCCTGTATGTGATAGAAGGAAAATTCGAAGAAAATAAAAGAAAGCCCAAAAAAAGCAATGTAAAGGTCGAATTCTAAATAATATATATAATTGATGGGGATCAATTCCAGGTTGAAATGCTTCGAGCGCGGTTTGTCACGGCGGGTGGACAAAGTGGGCGGAACAGTTGAGAGGGAGGGAGTGATGTCAGAGGGAGGCAGGATGTGGTCAACACTCACCCAGCGTTCTGGCGCTCCTCAGAACGTGCTATTGTGCTGGCCATGATGTTATGATAGGAGATCGGGTCGCAATGGGGTGGAAGGGATGTAGGATAGGAGAAAGAGGTCTAAGTTCGAGAGGAGAGGGAAAAATTAAAGGGGAGTCAGAAATGGAGGAGAGGTTTGTTGGAAAAATCCCCAACAGTTCCGGCGGAGCAGTGTACTTTTTTAACGCCGTGAGAGGACTTTGCTTAGAGCTGCAGCAGCATTACGATGGTGGGGCACGAGGCCTTCTTTTCCACCTCCGTCCATATAATTTGCCGCGGGGCTCTTACTCTTTCATGTATTACCTGGTATTATTATTTAATTCTATTATCATGATCTTTCTCCTTCTTTTTACTTTTTCTTTTTTTTTCGATAAAAATCTTTTTTATTTTTTTTATTTTTATTTCTTTGTTTGCCCCTTTTGTATCATTGTATGTCTCTACTTAGATACATAAAGATTTTTTCTTAAATTCAAATGCTGTATTATAAATTTAACAGGCTTCTAGACTTTCTAGAAGACGATGTTCTTGCTGGCTTATCTATCATCTTGTAATGAATTTGCTAGCTAATCCTCAGGTCCCATCGGTCTCTCACTCCTCTGTCTTATATCATAGCGTCCATTTTCATACGTGACAGTTTGAGCTAAATAGTAGCCACCAGCCCCTTTGGTATTGATTGTGCTACCTATAGGAGTAACTACAACCACCGTGCCTGTAGAGCATGGCTGTAACTTTGTATTACCGCCAAAATATCAGATCAGAATCCCTGAAATTATCCGAAGATGGACTGGGCTCAGTCTACCGGAAAATTCAGATCCACTGAGTACCACTCGTTCCATTATCCAAAGTAACTGCTGGATGTTGTTGACCCCGCGCGAGCTATCAGCTGGCTGGTAATCTTATGTCTCACGAGTCATAACCGCTTACTCTCAAGTAATCCGCATATCACCTGAATGGTAATCATTGTTTGATAGATGTGAAAGAAACGTAAGACATCGTAAGTACATTTTTACTTGCTAAATCTAGGAGGGTAACCGTCTTCAATCTGATTGCCATTTGCCAACTGTCAACGGAGGACGCAAGTTAAAGTTAGAGTTACAACGAAAGCCTGGGGAGTTAATTAGTATTTCATTTGTAAGCCCTTATTCACTGTCACTCTGCTGTTTCATCTCCAATCCACCTTGACAAGTGAATCTGTCCCTCGTATAGTTTAATTTAATCTATAGACTACGTAGAAAGTATCCCTCCGATTACAGTACACAAAGAGCGATTTCGGCCTCCACTGTATTACAGGGTATGTACATACAGGCCGGCCTATTCCATCGACCGCGCCAGAAGCTGTGAGGAAGGTAGCCGGAACTGCGTGCTCCTAGAAGCCACTTTCGGTGACCGTACTCGTGGAGTTTGATCGGCGGATTTGTCATCCAAAGTTGATAACTGCCACTCAATCACTACGGATTCTATTTTCCCGTAAGTTTAAAGAAAGCCTGGATGAAAATGTAATCAGACCGACTCGGCTGCATTAACGCCGAACCTAGCCTCACGACTGTACCGAGCCGGGTATTGACTTGATAGTTGACTCGGGCTGTCTCTAGGTAGTAGATGTGTAGAAGTAGAGGGCTCCCAATTACTTCTCTTTTTTTTTTTTTCCTTTTGCTTCCTTTTGTTCTTTTGAACTTCTACGGTCAGACCAGGATACAATTGTGTATTGTCAGAGTAAAACAACATATACTCCGCGTAAAGGTCGCTGCCGATTGCCTGTGGGGCGGAACTCGCTGTATTTCCAAATATGTGCTCCCGGTATGATCACTCAGTAAGGGTGCCGTCTTTAGTTATAAACTCCGTAGCGGAGTACGGAGTACATCCCATACATACTACATCACTGGATGAGCACCACTGCAATGATGAATCAAACCCCAACATCCCTATATGCACCCAAAACACGGCCCCTACTTTATATGTATGCACCGAGGTCCCCTATTCGATGAAGTGAGAGCGGAAACCCAAAAGGTAACAGCAACACCTGATCCCTCTGCAGGGGCGATGGGGCCTTTGTCGTCATTGAAGAGTCAGTCTCCCTGTGACCTCTCAAACACCTTTTGTCAGCGGGGTGCAGTCCTAGACAGATACTCCATGCCGTTAGAATAGCCGCCCGAACCGGCCTCGGACCACAGTAGCCCGACGGCAAAAAAGGTAACGATGCGGTGGAGACTTGCAGCAGGAATTTAGAGTCAATGCTTATATCGGGGACAGGAATATTTATTTCTCCGTGGTAACCAAAGTAGGTTTAGCGGCTGCTTCCCATGCTCCATCACGGGATTTGGCTAGCCCTGGCTGGGGTCGACCACAGGTGACCAGTCAGCTCGCTAAGCGTCCCGAAACGGGTTAGGGCGAGTCGCACCGAACACACCCTCGCAAATTGTGAACGCCGTCTCATACCTACGAAGCGACGACAACCACGACAACCCGAACGACATTTTTGCGGGTCATTTCCTCGACTTGTTTGCGTTGCCCGCTGTTGCTCAGAACCGCCGTCAGAATGCCTTCGGAACACGGTCACAGACGTGAGTACACCTCTGGAGTTGTTGAATGTTATGGTTCCGGTTATGGTTATGGTTATGGGGTGTGCGACAACGGATATACTTGGAGTCGGGAAGGAGCTTGGAGGATCTTACATGAAGCTTGGTTGGAGACGAGATGCTAACATGTATCTTTCTAAATTATAGTCTACGTCAAGTAAGTTACCACAACTATATCGTGTCGCGCGTATCCGGAAATGATATGTCTATCAAAGTCGCCTGCGAGGATTGGATACGGATGGGACCGCGACAGATGATCAGAACAGAGGATTAATACGAATTGCTTTTTAGGGGACGTCACCTGAGCTACCAGCGCTCCAAGCGCCAGGTCAACCCCAACACCAGGTACCGATCCGCATCTGATATCGGAAGTTTGGGACATGGAATCTGACATCGGTGATATAGTCTGATCAAGATCGACGGTGTTGACAACACCGAGGCTGCCAACTTCTACCTCGGCAAGAAGGTCGCTTTCGTCTACCGGGCTAAGCGCGAGGTTCGGGGTTCCAACATCCGGGTGATCTGGGGCAAGGTTACTCGTCCTCACGGTATGTGAAACTGGACTATATGGTGCACGGAACTCAGGCAATGGTGGCGGAATTGCAGTGATGTGCAGGACTGACAATAGCATCCAACAGGAAACTCCGGCGTTGTCCGTGCTCAGTTCCGCCACAACCTCCCCCCCAAGTCCTTCGGCGCTACTGTCCGCGTCATGCTCTACCCCTCCAACATCTAAATGACTCGGTTTTATTATGTGTTAGTTGGCACTCCGAATCTTCACGCAGACAGTCGGGCAAGGAGTCGACGGTATGAGCCAATGTTGAGATGGAGTTGGCGGGTTGATAATGTTCGTGGGAGAGGCAGGGCCGACCAGCCCTACGAATTAAAATAAAAGAACTTTTATGTCTCCTTTACAGCATGGATATCTGTCAGTTATTAGGCATTAGAAACGCTTGACCCGTTTTAAACACCGGCGAGCATCATGTGTCTTCTCTGACACCATGGCTTCTCCACCACTCGGCGCACATCACACCAATCAATATACCATTTCAGCATGATGATTCAATTTCGCATTCGGACGTTAGGCGGGCCCTATTCGAATAGAAGTCTAGGGTGGACAACGAGGATGAGATGGGCAAACAGCAACCACTTGCAGCAAATAGAATTTTTCCCGATGCTCCCGATATTGAAAGTGAAACCCAGACTAGACGAGCCCGTATGCGACATTGGCTCAAATCTCATGGCGTTGATGGCTATAAGCTTATCTTTGAATCCCGGGGTTTGTTGCCGTATCCGATTACTAGAACATTTTGTAAATCAAACCTTAAGATTCAGGAACCATATGTTGATTGTGAACACTTTAGTTTACGTCACTCCGATTACACCCTGCTGCGTACGTGTACAATTGGTATGTGACCTGTAAGCAGTTGCTCCAACTTCTATTGAGCTCTGAGCTGCTAGTATACATATCCTGTAGGCATAACCTCTTAGGGCAGGATATATTCCCGCCCACCGTGCAATGATATGTCATCGCGTCAGATGCCTGATTTTGCTCTGGGGCATACTTAGTGCAGTAAACATTCTATTCTACATGGAACCCCTCAGCTCATTAATTATAGGGGCAACACTACAAGCAGAATCGCCAGAACGTACACTAATACATATAGTAGCAGAGAGGAGACTTGTATCAAGCACGCTACTTGGCAAGTACAGTACACCTTATATACTTCCGAGGGAACCGAACCTCTAGCATATACCTTTTTCATTTATGCCCTACATGACCCATGAACCTAGATAAATATCTGTCTTAGAACACCCTATTCGGCCAAACCCCATGATATAGAGATTGGTCTAGCCCCGTACCTACTATGGGACCATTAATTGTGATACAATAATAGGGGCCATCATGTCACTCCGTTACACCAGTATTTCTTCAGATAATATGTGCTGTGCCTGGTTCTCCCACTTTGCCTGATTCTGTAGGGGTGCTGTGCTACATGAAGAGCAACAGACTGGAACAGTCATAAGTGGGCACATACCATGGACTTGTCTGCAGCTGACGCCTCTCGATTGTCGCTTAGAGAAGGTTGATGACAGTGTTATTGAGTCTGGACGTGTAACTGCAGAGGTCATTGGATATGTACAAAGGACGGGACTGGGATCTGGCAGTATGGCATGGAGTATACTGATTATAGGTTGGTGAAGGTTGCGGATCACAGTGTCAGTATGCTTGAGCACATTGGTCGTTACCTGTCTTGTTGTGATTATATTGCAGTGCACTTTGGATGTAAAGAGTCTGTCAGAGCTTGTGGCAGTAGGGATTGACTATGGTACAGCAAAGGCATAGGGGAGACGAGCCCGAAATGAGGACACTACTGAATAGTGTTCCACAGACTTGATTAATGCTAGGTTGACCGCGTGCATTTTGAAGTAAGTGAAGCCAAGAATCGACAGATGCGCAGGGACTGTCGGCGAAGCCCTTATCAATGCGTGAGTTTCAGTTATTAATTAGGGTAATATGCATTGCCCAAGTGGGCACCAGCTGTCTAGTATGAAGTGTTCAACCCCGGCGAGGATACGATCTGGGTAGAGCTTGCCTCCAAGTTATCTCTGATACCATCGCAAGAAGGTGAAGCTAGACTCATGTCTCTACATTATAACAACTGGCGTATTGGCATGTCATCACTATTCAACTCTATCACCTTAGGTTTAATCTCGAATATTTTGATGTATATAGATATGGTTATACTTCGATGGGTAATCAAGAATCATATCTATTGTCTTATTCCGATAAGAGAATTTTGATATTCCAACTAGGAGGAATATTAGACAAGCCCTAATCCTACGCCCAGTTTTGCGGCGAGGGCGCTGTCCGAGTCTGGAATCCTGAAATCTAGCCTCCTTGCATGGGGTGAATTTTCTTTGATCCGAGTTAATCAGAATTAAAGTAGGCGCCATCCCCCACTGTGATGACCCACCGCATAATGTAATTTGAAGATCGTTATGGATCCCTTTATTGGCGCCCTTTTGGACGGAGTTCTTGACAACAACAATTATGCATAATTTGACATAAACCTGGGGTTTGCAGGCATCGTTTCTGCTAAGCATGTAGGAAGTCCTCTGGGGAAAGCGTGGTCCAGAACGAGTCATGGGGAAAGAAAAATATCCTGTGGTGCAATTTTTATATATCTGTTGAATGTCTTGTTTCCAGGCATAAATTATTAACTAGTAGTGTGGTCCCCGTAGACATCAAACATGGTAGGTGTTGACTGCCTGTGAACAACATGAAGACTCAGCAGATCCTCCAACTTGTCAATTGGACATGATATCAAGACATCAGGATTTAGCTGCACCCGTGGCCAATGGGATGATGACGGATGGGTGAAACGATCAGTTAGTGTATAGCGCTAAATCAATGTGACTCTATTTTGCTCAGCGTTTTCAATACGGGTCTTGTATGTAATATAAATACCACCTTACTGAGACATCGAATTGATTCTAATTTAGTTGGAAGTGAAAAATTAGTTTTATCAGAGAGACGGGAGAGATTGGATTGAGTAACGGTGATGTCGCACTGTCACTGTAGGCAATGAGGCAATGAAAATCCTCTGATTGATCCCACCCTGCTTATTGATTCATTACGCAAGAAAGAAGATCAGGACGATCAGTGGGTTTGACAACACAGTCTTGCAACCTTATCGTATCCCCTCAGCTCCCCAGTTAGTTCCTGACACATTCTGGAGCCGAAAGAAAACGATTGTTGCAGGGTTGGGTGGCTGGTCGACGTTTTCCTATTGATTGGTGGTCCAGGGAGGAGAACTTGCGTAACGCACACAGTGTGACTGTTGTTTGTCATTGGACTTGCTTTTCCTCCCTTTCTTTGGTTTTGATATTTTTTTTTTTTTTTTTTTTTTTTTTTTTTTTTTTTTTTTTTTTTTTTTTTTTTTTTTTTTTTTTTTTTTTTTTTTTTTTTTTTTTTTTTTTTTAATGCAGGATTTTATTCTTAGAAATTTAATTGATTAGTCGTCCACTTTTACTTTCCCTTTCCAACTGTTTTTTATTTTTCTGGACTGCTCTAGAGGTAAATTTTTTACCCGCGGTCCAATCGGTTAGTGTCTGTCACGAGGTACCAAACAAATAAGAATCCAAGAAAGACTGCTTTCTCGACCCTGAAAGTCTAATGATTCACTCGGAAAAAGAGTTCTGAGATGATGTTCTTCAGCGTAAAGAAGGATTGGAAGGCGGTTCGACAGAATAAAAACACCAGGAAGCATGGTCAGCCCGACCATGCTCATCAACTCAACTACACATAAGCTGTATAGATCTACTTGATATACATCTAAGAATAGACAAGCCACCGATGAGAGTTCTGCCCAGTCCGCTTAGACTTGACTAACGCCATCGTCCGACCCAAAACCAAACTACGGCGAAACAGGCTGGAACGAACTACGCTGATAGGCGACGTTGGGTCGTCCAGACAAGAAGACTTGCCTTTCCCCTCTTATTGCGTGGCGCCTGTCGTCAACCCCAAATCCAGATTAAGTCAAAAAGGCCTCGACAGTCCTCGTGGTGAACCTTAGTTGAAAGTGAACCTCAAACCTCATTGTTTTCTTTCTCTTTCTCTTATCTCTTCCTGCCGACTTTCGTTTGCCGACCCTATACACGGCCACTCTCTTCCACAAACCCATACTGGTCACCGTCGCTTCCATTGTCGATCGCTCATTGTCCGTTTCCCTCCTCCAAACCATCCCATCGGTTGCCTGTTATCTGGTCTGATACTAATCTTGCAGGATCCAGTGCCGATCGTCCGATAGATTTTATTTGACAACCTGTACCTGTCGCATCACGCCTTTTGTTGCGACGATAACAACAACAACAACTGAGCATTGCTTTTCTTTTTTTGGGACGGTAAACTGGGACAAGCATATTGGCGCATACTATTTTTCTGGACTCGAGGGGTATAAATACTATTCCATTCCAGAAGGGCAAACTAGACGTCAGGTTAGGGAGAGGATCCAAAAATTCAACCCCACGCGCACACGCTCGTTTCGTTGGCTGCCTTATCAAGGGTTTGTCGAAATCAAGCGCCTGAGACACTCGCTGTCTGCTACAATTGAACCATACATTCCTTGGCGGTTTCCACTCCGCTTGCTGTTGCGCTCCACAACGGCCGCTATAGTGCAGATAGATCGCTACGAAACAAATTCCAGGGTAGTCAGGCGCTAAGGACGACGGGGAGTATTAAAAATGGCGTCCCCCCAACAGCCCGCGCCCCCGAGACACAGTCGGGGGTTCAGTTTTGGTGGCAGGTCAGACAAGTCCAGCAATTCTGGCAGCAATAAAATTCGTCTCACCGAATCTGCTGAGGAGAAACATAAACGTACTTTACATACCAAAGCCGACCCTATGGTTGCTATGAGCGAGGCGCAGCCAAGTATGTTACCAAATTTAACTCCCATGCTTCGATTTTGTGTCTCATCATCTGGGTTCGCATTGAACCTGTTCTCATTTTGGTTTCTCTCAACCCCCGCCCTGTTCACATTTTTTCCCCGATTGCTTTGGCACATATTTCCGAACTGACAGGTCATATCTAGTGTTGGTTGCTTTGGAAAAGTCCACTATCGGCTCTTTAAGGGAGATGCAGCACAAAGACCAATTCGGAAATGTCATAAGTTCGTTTACAATTCTCTTCAATACTCAGAGCCTCGCTATGGGAGAACGATGGACTAATTGTCTGTTTTCATTGAATAGCTGACCCCGATCTCTCCAATCCCACCCGTCCTCGACTTGAACGTCCGCTGGATACAATTCGTTCTTTTGAGGCCGCCATCTATGGATCGTACAACAGCAGACCGGTATCATATGCTAGAACAGGTATGTTCGGCCTCGGAAAAATATGTGTTGTAGGATGCTAATTGAAGGCTAGACCATGAATCCACACCTGGAGCAGAATATAGTAGACGCAGCAGTTACTACGGTGGTGCGTCACCTGAAGTTCATCACATTCATGTTTATCTCCATTACTGACTTGATAATGCGACCACAGGACACAACGGCCACCACAGAGGCTACAACGACCAAAATGGCTACTACAATGGACGTGGAACATATTCCCGACCGGAGAGTTACATGGAAAGCAACTATGGCGGCGGGCCGCCCCCTGAGAATCATTACCCATACAATCAAGGCGGCGGAAGGCGACCACGTCGGCACCGCATGGAGCCCGAGTACCATGGCGCACAAAATGGATATGGGTCTAATGGCTACCACAAATCGTACGAAAACGTGACGGCAGCGTCTGGTTCGGGGAGCAATACCGATCCTTGGGCCAACAATTCAACCGATCCAAGCTCTGTGAACAGCTCAATCGATCAGCTGCAACTTCAACAACAACAACAACAACAACAGCTGCTCCAGCAACAGCAGCAGGAGAGAGCAGTCGCAGAAAGGTATGGGTTCGCGGGATTCGGCCCTGAACCGAACCTCAGTAATGGCGGTGCGTTAGCCTCTGGCGCAGCTGGAACTGGACCAATTAAGCTTGGGAATTCCGCTCCAGTCGCCGATCCCACCGCTGGAGGCCCCGTGGGTGGACCAGCCTCAGCCGCGGGTGCGCCCACCACCCGTCGCCATCTACGCAAAGCCACGAACGCCTCCGATGCGAGCGATACGAAGCGAAAAAGTTGGTTTAAGCGAAGGTTCAGCAAGGACTAGTCCATTCATTTCCTCCACTTTTGCCCTCCCCCTTTAACCGACCCAATATTTGTCGTTCAATGCGTGTTTTCTCACCTCACATAACGGATGTAATAACTCATTTGGCGTTTTATTCTCGACTCACAGCAATGGGATCTATGGAATGGGACAGTACAGGAACTTGTGAGCATTTTTTTTCTTTCTGTTTTTAATTAGCTTCTAGCTTGTTATTATGCGTCTTTTTTTGCTGTTTTATTGTTTTTATGTATCTTCAAGCACGCAGTTGATTGACGTTACGAGATTACGATACAATGGTGGATTTAAAATTAGTTTCATGGGATAGTACTTGGCAAAGGGATCATTCATTCGATGTTCAGTGATATGGGCGAATTTATTCATTGTTATTATGAAATGAAGATCGGTGTAGTATGTCTTGAATCTGGTTCCAGACGCGGATCTGCTGATCAATATGCAAATGTCAGAGATCATATCGGCAACCTACTTGATGCAAAGAGGATTTAGAGCGGCCGCAAGCGCATCTTATTGAGGCTTCTATAGCTTCTCGCCATCAAGAACTGGACATTAAGATATATATAAAACTCAATAACAACAAGAACTAAACAACACTCAGATACATCGAACAACCATCAAGAAAGATCACATAACATGGGAATCAAGCTTAAACACAAACACACACAAAACGACACTACCACATTGCGAAAACCCCATCCTGCACCAAAAGCAGGAATAAAAGGAAGGTGAGATGGGAAGAAGAGAGTCATCTCTTCCCCATAAGCTTATACTTCAATCTATCCGCCCATCCATCATGCGCGAGCGCCTTCTGCTGTTTCTTCTCCTCATCCCTCTTCTTATGCGCCTCGTCGAGATGGACATTTCCTTGTCCGCCGCGCTGACATCGTCAGAACACAACTCTCCTTTACGCAAGAAAGGCAGGGGGTGGGGGTCAAAGAATAAACATACACCGATGTGATAATCCCCGTCGGTCGAATTGCGGATCGCCAGCTCGGGAATGATTTCCGCATCGTGAGGAGTCCCTGCCGTGGGACGTACGTGGGGAGACCCGATGTTGCCTGCGCCGCCGCGCTGTTGCAGTCAAGAGGTCAGTGATCTATGATGGGGTTGGAGGGTAAAGTATGTATGGACTCACGCCGGCGGAGTATGCGCCATCGCCTTGGTCTCCGTAGGCGCCCTCACGGACTATACCGCCGTCGACGTATCTGTGGTGTATTTGTTAGACGGGGGATGTGTGGAGAAGGGATATTGGGGCGCACTGGGTGGAGTCGGCGCCGATGTTGCCTTGGCCTGGGGTAGGAGATGGTATGTTAGAGCGGGTTCAGTGAGAGACGTATGAGCTTGATAATATATTCAAGAAGGGGGCGCACCTCCGCGGCCGTGCGATACGATGGGTTCGTGTTCGCCCATAGTGCTAGAAGTGATGTGAGTCTGGAGCTGGGATAGAATCCTTGATGTTTTGAGAGAAGTTGCTTGCGCGCGAAAGTCGGGCTAGGGGTTCAGTACTTATATCTATGCACTGGTGGGCAGTCGGCGCTTTCCAGAAGGATTCCAAATGGATGGGAAGTAAACTCAAAGGTAAAAGTTTAGGAACGAGAAACCACGAGAGGGTCTGATGCGGTTCCTCAGGACTCAGGAGATGGACTAGGCCCTGAACGTCCCGAAAGATTCCCTAAAGGTTTATTGAACACGGGGTTTATCAGGCGTCGGGCTTACAATCGACATATACTAACTCGGTGACGTCGGTACAAGCCCATCAATCGGGCAGATAAATGATAAGATAACGAGGCTGTGATGCAATCCATTGGTCCAGCCCGTGACTAACGATCGTTGATAACTCGTCCCGTGGATAAGACACCCGTCTTGGCAGGTGATTTTGGAACACGATTAAACATTCACATTCATGAGCACTACACTGCTATAAATCACCAGAATGACGGTCTCCCTCGCTACATTCCTACGATAACAAAACACCTACTGCGTGTATTATGCCCAGCACCGCCTGTCGCTTCTACTTCTTCTGTTCGGCGGCAGGACCTCCACCGGTGGTGGGAAGACCCATGAAGATCTTGAATGAATCGTAGCTAGCGAGTGTCAGTACTCGAGTCCTATAATCGTGGAGAAAGAGCGGCAGGAGATACATACATCATCCATTGCAAACCGGTCTACAAATCCCTTTGGTTAGCGGATACCTCAACAAGGTCTGTTGTTGACTTACCAGAGTTCCGATCATGACAATTCTGACGGGAAGACCATTCCACAGGCCAGCAAAGCCAATTTCCTTGTAGATCCGACCCATAGCGGTACCGAAGGCTTCACCAGGCTGCCTGTTTGCGTTCAATTTACTCACCATCACATCAGCGGGATGGGACACAACGGCGCATAGAATACCAGCCAAGTAGCCCCCAGTGAAAGCCACCCCAGTCTGTGCGCCTTTGTTGTAATCAGACTTCTGACCCGGTAGGTAGTTGTAGATCATCTCCACGATGGTTTCGAATGAAGCAAACTTCATCATGGTGTACGGAATCTGCCGACCCCACAGCGGATATAGACCCTTGTAAAGTCTATTCGAAGTCAGTGCGGTCCAGCTGCATCTACAACGTAAAATTGAGTGCTTACCCCGCCACTCCTTCCTTCGAAACGACGTTGGAAATCCCCGTGAAAGTCGAGCGGATATCAGGTGGGATTGTTGTCTGCATGCGCACCTTTACGGCCTCGAAAGGACAGAGTGCTACATCAGCAATAATCTCTGCAGATGCACTAGCTGTGAGATACAGGGACGTCTTCCAGCGATTTGCGTTCTCCACTCCAACAAGGTCGCTGTAGAACTTCTTGAAAAACTCATAGCCCCCGTACTTGAACGCTCCTTGGGCCTTCATTCAGTTAGTCAGCTCCGTATATTGAATGTTAGTCATGTGTCACCAGCGTACGCTGTATCCAAAGAAGGTAGGCCCCCAACCAGTAAATACTCCTCTGAAGCCCTCTGCGGCGCGAATAGTACGAAAAGCCTCTAGGTTGCTTTTGTAAAGCTGAGGATCAACCTGGCGTCGGCATTTGATGAGATCCAGTGGCGTCACAGCAGTGTGGGTAAGGCCCTATCCACAATCAGAAGATTGGAACAGTGAGTAAAGCAACTATATCATTTTACAGGGGAAAACCTACGCAAGCAAGAAGTCCGCCGACTGTACAGGCTGCATAATACTTGGGAGTCCACGGTTCAATTTTACCGGTCTTGGCCTGAGCCTTTTGGCTTGCAATATTGAATTCGCGTGACGCCTCCTTTGCAATAGCATCTGCCCTTCTTTTGGTATCATCAACCACACTCCAGGCTGGAAACGGCTCCTGCCTTTTTGTTCCTGCAGCTCCCGAAAGCTGCGACTGCTTTCCGGATTGGTTTAGAGGGTGCTGTGAGGAAAACGTGCTACTGATGATATCTTCAGAAGGAAACATTTTAGCGAGAAATTACCTAGTTAAATCATGTTAAAATATTGGGTTTATTGTAGGTTGGGAGGTCTCCACAGGACCAAACCGCACGTACTGGTGGTTGTATATCTATAAAGAAGATCGTCCCCACTTCTAGGGCAGTCGGTATCTCAATCAGTACAAAACAGTTGGAACACGAGTCGCTCGAACTGCTGACCTTTTCTTCCTGTTAGAGATACTAAAGAAGCAGTATGACAGTCTAAATAGTAAACCAAATGTGACTCATTCCGTAGCAGGACCCAAACAACCGAAAAGGGAAGAGAATCTGACACTACGGCAGCGACCGGCAATGACGTCGCATGGTATCGTGACACCCACTCCTAAGAAGGCGTGGTTGGCGCCAAACCCGATCGGCTTAGAGGACGGAGACTAAGGCTTGTGGGCCGCAATCGATAAATTTATCATCCATTGGAACAGACCTCACCTGTGATATTGTCAACACCCTCTTTACCCCATATCCTTTGCTCTTACTGTCTGCACAGCCGTGTTTCTCCGAGTTTACCCTGTGTTGCTTAGTGTCTCGATTTGAAGCCGTTCCTATCCTCAATTGGACCCCATAGTTGGCCCCTCTTCGTACCCCTCCTAATCGCATTTGCCGCCCCTCCTGTGAATCACACCGTGGATATGGCTTCCTATTCGACAGGCAGCGAGGCATTTGCCCGCGAAAAGCTCTCCTCCGCCGTGGAACAGTCCACGTCCCCGTCATTGTGGGCAGACAAGTACCGAGGGGTTAGTTACCCCTCTATGTTGGCACCTCACGCCTAACTGCATAGACCCATTGCTATTCCCTATTTACTGACAAAAGAATTATAGGCTACAGTCGAAGATCTGGACCCCCCTCCGGCACTGTCAGTCTCCCCTAGCGATTTAGTTTCCTCCGCCATGCTCGCAGCCTACGAACGTGATTTCACTCATTTAACCGTTACGTCTTCTACGAAACGATCCCTACTTGGCTACCTTAGCATTCCCCGCCTCAAGCAACTTTTGAAAGAAGGAACTATCAAAGAGTCAGACTCCGTGTCTGCCGCCATGCAGCGGTTTAACCGGAAGCGGGGCTTGTACCAGGTAATCACAATGGAGACTCCCTTGGAGGAATTGGAGCAATTCTTCGAGAGTGAAACCGGCCCCAATGGCGAGAAGCGAGAGAAACAAGAGTTTGCCGTGGTAACAGATGTATCGCGGAAATTCGTGCTCGGGGTGGTAACGAAGAGTGATCTGGAGGAGTTCGTGAAGCGGAGGCCATAAGTCCCTGAATCTTAACGCAGTCCTCTTTTTCATTTTCATTTTCTTTTCTTGTCTCTCTTATTCTGCTCGGGTTCAACTTGTTTATATACAGTTTGTCGGTGCATTTCCAGGCGCGGCTTCTTCAACATGGGCTGGTTGTAATACTGGAACTATCGTCTTCCACAAGGGTCCGAAACGGGACTACTTAACGGCCCGCGGCACCCCTGTGGGCGTGTTTTACCTACGTGGATCTAGACGAATGATGTAGGAACCTCACATATTCAACTGGTATTCCTACAGTCCACATGACTTATCATCCTTGGGCCAAACCAAAGTAGAATTACAACACAGCTGTCCGCGAACGCCGCATATTAAGTACAAAGACCAACGCATACATGTAAACCGATTGGTAATCCCGCCAGGGGCCACAAGCCCCTTATTGCGCCTTCTTTTCTTTCTTCTTCGTTAAGGCTTCTCTCTCCAGGCGATCATCCTGCCATGCAACAAAGACATACGCAAACAAGACGATATTGGCCGTAACAGCCGCAATAATGCCGGCGACAGTTGGACTCGCTACCTGATGTTAGAACTCATACCTCAAGGGTACACGGAAGCCATGGAAGAAAGAGGTAAATAAAGAGACCAGGGGACAAAGGAGCATACCGCCAAACTTCACTGCGACAAAGTACATGCCAATGGGCAATGAGACCATCGCGGCGGAAAACCCTAGCAGTTTGAAGATGACATTTCTGTAACGAACTATTAGTAGCTGTGACAATTCATCGGTGGGGCACTCTGAGCGGCACAGCTTGATTCGCAGAAGACGGTACATGTCTACTAGTATCGGGTTCGACACCGCGCATCGGCTATGTGGCATGAATGCAGATTGAGGATGGAAACCAGACGGGGAAAACTCTTACGTGGGAACTGCAGGCGTAACATCGGAATCGGATGTTTTCTCCGGTGCAGGAGTAGCGACCGCTTCTGCGTATGATTTACCCTGAGGACGACGGCTGGCCATTTTGGATTGCAAAGGGTGTTGATACTAAGTGTGTGGACCGAGCAGAGATGATGGATACCCTTGAGGGGGCTGGGAGAGAAGGGAGGAGTTCAACTGCACGTAGCAAGCTAATCGAATGGAGGCTAAATTGATCTCTGAGCCTTATGATTATACTTATGGACCGTTTTCCGTGGCCAAAGACGAAAGATGAATTGTTTATTGAATGATTTGATTTACTCAATCCAGGCGACGTAATTCAGGTGAGGTCATTGCATGCACATCTCTCATTGGTCCGCGGCCATTGAAAGCCTCCGATTGTCAAAAAGCTCCAACATTCTTTCAATCTTGAGCGATTCTGCGCAACACTTTCGATACCGGTGGACAGATGCACAGTCGATGGTAAGTGATTTTTTCTCTTCATGAATTTCTTACCCTGCTCCAAGGTTATCATTTGGAGAGGTCGCTGGATTTCCTGCTTGGTCTTTAATTGAAGCGCCAATACACGTGACCGCGGGCGCGTCTGAGCGCGTTTTTTTGCGGAGAAAAAAAGCCCTTTCTTGAACTTAATCTGAAGGAAAAGTTCAGGTTGGGGAAAAGAAGGAACTTCCTCTCGGTCGTCTGAGCGAAGCTGCCTTCCTGCCGCAGTGGCCGGGCCTCAACTTAATTCACCAGTATTGGACAAGACTCACTAACCATGGACGATTCAGTTCCTGATACCCCGGTTAGCGACAAAAAAGTCATTCACAATACGCCGCCCGGGAGAGAAGACGAAGGATATGAAACTGTCGCCACTGTTCCGCTGCCAAACTTTCAACAGCCCGCAACCCAGTCCCTGACCCCGGCGACCCAACGTCTAACACAACCAACACAGATTATAGAACCGCCCTATTCTGCGAAGGGCAATTCAGTCATTCAAGTTGCTGCATCTTCCCCGCCCGGTCCTACATCCTCTCCTTCTCGTCCTGCCTTGCCCGGCGGTCGCCTTGCCAGCGCAATGGCCCCCAGCGGTACCCTGTTCCGCCCCCCTGCGGTAGGCCCTGCGAAGCGTGCGCCGGTAATAGATCTTGAGGATGACGGCCCAACGTACCGTGGAGGGTCTTCGGACGACGATGACATTCAAATGACAAGCAGCACTGACATCAAGCCGTCCTTGTTTGCCAAATCTTCGCGGAACCCCGAAAAAGTTTTGGACTCACCGGGAGGCGCAAATAATTCTTCTTTCGACCGATTTAAAGAGATTACCGCGTCCGCCGTCTATAATCCATCGAGCGCAAAACGCCCTGCAGCTCAAATGGACCCTGTACCAAAAGGGACTGCGGTCAAGAAGCTTCGGCAAGATGGGCCCTCCCGCGCGCAGCCGGTGCAGCTGGATATATCGTCTTTACAGGATATTGAAGACTATCAGTTGAGGGCCAAGGTAGAGAAGATGCAAAGAGTGATCCCACAAAAATCCGTTAAAGCTTGCATGCAAGCTCTTTTAACGAAGCGTGGAAATTACGACGATGCTCTGGATTACCTGGCTAGCATGGTTGAAGGTGAAGCAGATGGAACAGCCGACTTGTCGGACGATGAATTGGCTTTGAATAAAAGAGCCTCTCCCGTTGCGCCGGCGAAGCAGCAGATCAAAGCTCGAGGAACTATTCAGAATAAATGGGCTGCGATGCGCCTGGAGAATCGCAGCACCCCGAAGGCACCTGCGCAACCGTCCGACGAAGAATCCAAACCAAGGAGACGTTTAATTAGAGGGCCAAAGGCCCGTGTGTCTTCCCCGAGTCCAGATCGCTCAGAGTCTCCTCCGAAAAAGAAGCCCGGCCGACTTATTCAAGGGCGGAAGCAGCCATCGCCCGAACCTTCAGAACCCGAGGCATCCATGTCCGATGACTCAGATTCTGGTGTAGAAGCTATTCCGGAGGGTGAGAGTGCATTGGAGACCAGGGTTCTCAGGTTCTTCAATACATGCAATGTCCTTGACCTTGCGGACATTGCCGCAATCACCGAAGATGTTGCGAATGTCATAATTTCTAACCGACCTTTTGCGACTCTGGACGAAGTACGCGTCGTCACTGCGCCTACGACGGAGCAAACCGCGAAGCCAAAGGGTAGTCGTGGGCGTAAAACGCCCAAGCCTATTGGTGATAAAATTGTGGACAAATGCATGGATATGTGGGTTGGGTACGAAGCTGTTGATTCGTTGGTGGCGAAATGTGAGGCGCTTGGAAAGCCGATTGCATCGGAAATGAAAAAATGGGGCGTCGATATCTTTGGAAAGCGTGATGGGGAATTGGAGCTGACATCGATCAACCCCGGGGCATCGCATGACTCTGGCATCGGTACCCCTGCCAGTCAGCGTTCAGAGGATGATAGTGATGGTCCTGCGACTGGCTCCCGTAAAAGCCGATTCATATCCCAGCCTGGTATTATGCGCGAAGACTTGAAGATGAAGGATTATCAAATCGTCGGGATTAATTGGTTGTCGTTGCTCTTCGAGAAAGAATTGAGCTGTATCCTGGCGGACGATATGGGTCTTGGGAAGACTTGCCAGGTCATTGCATTTTTGGCCCATCTGTTTGAGAAGGGCATCAAGGGGCCGCACCTCATCGTCGTGCCTTCGTCCACAATCGAGAACTGGCTTCGAGAGTTTCAAAAGTTCTGCCCAGCCCTCTCCGTTATGCCATACTATGCTGGCCAGGCTGAGCGCGCAGTGATTCGAGAAACGATCGAGGACAACAGGGACAGCATCAACGTTATTGTCACTACGTATACCATTGCCAAAGCCAAGGTGGATGCACACTTCCTGCGCAATATGGACTTCACCGTTTGTGTGTATGACGAGGGACATATGCTTAAGAGTTCTACGTCTGTTCTCTATGAGAAATTGATCAGAATCCGGGCTCGCTTTAGGCTTCTTTTGACAGGTACACCACTCCAGAACAATCTCCAGGAACTTGCCTCTCTTCTGGGCTTTATTCTTCCGAAGGTTTTCCAGGAGCGCAAGGAAGAGCTTCAGAATATCTTTGCAAACAAGGCGAAGACCGTGGATGAATCCCACTCTGCCTTGCTTTCTGCACAACGCATCGAAAGAGCAAAGTCAATGCTTAAGCCTTTTGTACTGCGACGCAAGAAACACCAGGTCATTGATCTGCCCCCCAAGATTTCTAAAGTTGAATATTGTGAGTTAAACGAGTCCCAGAGGGAAATTTACGAACATGAGCAAGAAGAGGTCCGTAAGCTGTTAGCCGACCGAGCAGCCGGAAAGAAGACAGGCAACAAGTCTGCAAATATCCTGATGAAGCTACGCCAGGCAGCTATCCATCCATTGCTATACAGGCGTCACTACAATAACACTACATTGAGCCGCATGGCGAAAGCTTGCCTCAAAGAAGAGCAGTGGTCCCTGTCAAACCCGGATATCATTTATGAAGAGCTACTGGCATATAATGACTTCGAATGCCACACTATGTGCGTGAACTATCCTAAATCGCTTGGGAAGTTTGCGCTGAAAAACAATGAATGGATGGACTCGGGTAAAATCGATAAGCTTTGTGAACTGCTGAAGCGATTCAAGGAAAACGGTGATCGCACTCTGATCTTCTCCCAATTCACTATGGTGATGGATATCCTCGAACACGTTCTTGAAAACCAGCACCTTGGTTTCGTTAGACTTGATGGCCGGACGAACGTCGAGGATCGCCAGTCCATCCTCGATGCGTTCCATGAACGGACAGAGATTCCGGTGTTCCTCCTCTCCACAAAAGCCGGTGGCGCAGGTATCAACTTGGCCTGTGCCAACAAAGTGGTGATCTTCGACTCGAGCTTCAACCCTCAGGAAGATGTACAAGCCGAGAACCGCGCTCATCGTGTGGGCCAAACACGCGAGGTGGAAGTCATCCGACTCGTTACCAAGGACACAATCGAAGAACAGATCTACGCACTAGGACAGACGAAACTGGCTCTCGATCAAGCCGTAGCAGGCGAGGATGCCGCCGAGTTGAAGAAGAGTGAAGAAGCAGGCATGAAAGCCGTCGAGGATATGCTCATTGCCGGCTCAAATGGAGAGAAACAGAACTCCTCATGAGAGCATGTCCTTGAAGATTTCATACATCCTAGCATTAACCATCTTTACGAAAGCCGCAACCATCCGAGGACGTTTGGGGCCGTGTAACAAACCTCGCAAAGACTACAGAGCCCATACCGAGCCCATACCGATTGCATTTCGTTTTTTTTTTTTTTTTTTTTTTTTTTTTTTTTTTTTTTTTTTTTTTTTTTTTTTTTTTTTTTTTTTTTTTTTTTTTCTTTCCTGCTTTATCATGCTTTACTGTACTTTTGCTAAACCTCTGTCTGCATCGCCGTGTTATTAGCGATTTTACTTACCTGCACATTGTCACGGCATACAACTTGTCTTTTTGAGTGTGATGATGACCGTGCTTTTACCTGTCACGGCTCGCACTCAACATCTTGGTTGCATCTGATCTTGTTTGGACGCATTTGTCGTGTCACAGTGGAGTTAGCAACGTCTTGGGGCTGTGTTGGCTGTTTTTGACTAAACGGCTTCCTTTATTATCTTTTCGTTTTCCGATGCTTTTCTGCTTATAGAGACGGAGTATGAACTGGCTGTTTTAGAAATCATCACATCATCAGAACTAATAGAGCAAAGAGAATGATTGATCGATTCAATTACCTCGTTGGCAAGGCCATTTATGTCACACATGTACGATACGATTGACTAGGGAATGGTAGGGGTGGGAAATTTGATATATCAGACTAGTATGATGAGATCCATGATTTTTGATATATTCGTGTATGTACCGTTGAAATTCACAAGACTTCAACCGACCGGCTTTTACCACACCGAGGGAATCTATAACTATGAACACCAAAGAATAATCCGGGAATTCAACACCATGTAATGCGACCAAGACAACAAAGGTAGAAAAAACCAGGCGCAAATAAGAAACAGGAAAGAGAAACAATAGCAGGGACTTTCAATGATTATGGGACTGTGTATCGATAGAAGAGCCTATTCCCGAGCTCATGCGGCGACTTCCTGTTTCTGAGATGACTGAGAAGCTGTTTCAGGGATTTCGAGATTGGCCTCGTTCGTCTCAGGCTTCGATTTCGTAGGGGCAGGGATGGAGTTTGTACGAATCGGTCCCACACCGCTGGTAGCAGGGGACGCGGATTTCGGCCTTGAAGCACCACCAGCTGCTCGAGCGGTTTCGTTGTTCTCAATGGCGTTCTGGACAGCCTTGTTTCGTGTCTCTTCCTTGAAGAAAACTGATTTCCCCTTGAGGTTCAGGATCTCATCGACTTGGAGCGCAGCGGGCATGAGGTCGTCGAACCTCAAGATGTGGCAGAAATCGGCATAGTTCTTGGAGCCCTTTGCGTCCCTGAACTCTTTGTTCTTGCCCGGGATCATAACATTCAGTAGATACTTGGTGTTGCCGAAGCGATTCTCGGACTCGATACAGAACTTCAGGTAAGCGTGAACGACGTCTCTGAATGGAAGTAAACCCCCATCTGCTTCGCTCTGGAAACAGGAAGGATTCGTCTCGGCGGATGTTGCAATCATTGCTCCATCCACGCCAAACTCTTCCATCAAAGCCAGCGCCTGGTCACGGGAGGTCACATCGCCATTCATGAGGCATGCGACGCCTGCGTTGTGGCAGATGTCACGGATCATACGTAGCTGGTCGCGGATTGCTCTTTCGCGAGGACGCATGGGTGGTGTTCGACAATGGACTGTCAGGCCTGTAATACCTGTCTTGACAAGCCTTGAAACCAACGCCTCCGTAATCTCCGGCTTCTCAAGGATGCGGATCTTCACGGAGATACCAATTTGGTAGGGGTTTCCAACGTCGCGGACAAGTGCCTCCAGAATCGAAACCAGTTTATCAGGGGTCCGTAACAAGGCCGCACCCATACCGCCACTTGTACTGAATGGTTTCGGACATCCTGAGTTCACGTCGATCCCAGCAACATCACCAGCGACCATCTTGGCGGCTTGCACAGCGAGCTCGGGAGTGGCTGTACCGAGTTGGAAGATGAGTTTCCCTTTCTCTCGCACCGGATCGAGGCGGTAAATAACCGATTCCTGTGCTGCTGCTTCGGTGCGACCACCGTTCGAGGGCAGCCTCGTATATTCAATGCATCCGTTGCGGGGGTTCACGCGGCGAGTGGCACCGGCGAGCGCGCGATCAATCGTTTCGGGACCCCAGACCAGATCTGCACCGTATTTAAGGGCTGTAAGGCGAGAAGGTAATTCTCCTGACCGGACCATCGGCGCAAGGACTATTTTGCCACGATAGTCGACCCCGTTGGCGGGGATGGGCACACGAGGTGTTGTAGTGAGCGAAGTCATTGCGGAGCGGAGAAATCTAAGCATAGCATACTTCGAAGGAAAGGTGAATGACGATGGGGTTATCTGTCTGGTCGTGACTGACTCAGACGGTCCAGATATCGACTTCGTGGGTGTTTGTATAGTTAGTTATGGAGTAGTCCATCATCCTTGGAAGGCGGAGAGAAAAAGTCTATATCACGTGAAGATAGGCGATAAGTTAAAATTTTCCTCTTTTACCCGGGTATTGTGACGGGTATTGCATAACCGGGCGGTACCTGCCAAGTAAATAGAGGCGGAGTGCGGTAATCACGTCTATTGTGTAGAATGGACTGACACCTTGGTGATCTGTCCGAGCATATCTATTTTCCAGCTATTATCTGCGAGACTCGAATCTTCCCATCGAGAAGCCAATCCCACTAGTGCATTGGCAACCATATCCTAGTGTCTGACAAGCAGAATACGAAGGGGACCATGCACGTGACAGCCATGCTGATGGCGCCATTTCAGGCGTTCAGGCACCAGCGCCAAAAACCCTAAACTCAGATGGTATGTTTGTTAGATCTGAGGTCCCACTCCCGGCGAGACGAAGAGTAGGATTCGGTTATTGGATGTTCATATCAAGTGAGGCTGAATTTGTTGAACAAGACCGCCCTGGACTCTCTCAGAGGCAGCCCAGCAACCAAGAGTGGGAGCGGGACCAGGATAGTGGAGCAAATCCATAGGATTGATTGATTCACCGGGACGGCCATTGACAATGGAATTGACCAGGCTTCTTGAAACCACCCCTTTTGCCACACACACATCAAGATTTCTATATAGAAGAGACTTTAATCTCTATGGACTACTATTGTTGAGAGCTCACTAGAACAGCGACTGAACGTAAATCGAGGAATCTCTAAACCATATGGATGTATATAGATAGTGAAGATCATTGGCAGTGTGGGATAATCGTGACCCTCTTGGCAACAAACATAGCAACGAACCTCGGAATGGCTTCCCGGCGCCCATTTTCTTCCCGACAATTTCCACCTCCTTTAAATCTTCACAAGACAAGCCGAGCATAGAATTGCAATTGCACAGCAGAACCGCCGGTACTTATAGTTCCAATTGAGCCGACCGAGACGGGTTCTTGCAGCTTTCTTTTCCCGCAACCAATGTTCCTGGGGTCGTCATCCACCAGTCTCGTTTCAAGACTGCGCACAGCTCCATTAAACCGATTGTCCACCGCCTCTCCGATTGTCGCCCGCGTATCACGCACATCCGCAACGTTGGCTCCCCCCACTAAACAAGCCACCCCTCCTTCCTCTTCCTCTCCCTCTTCCCTCCTCTCTTCTTCTTCTTCTTCCTCTCCTTCATCTGCCGTTTTGTCTCCTTCATCCTTTTCTCCCTCCCCTCGAGTTGCTCACTCGGCTTCGTCCGTCACAACTCGTGCTGCTTTAATTTCTCGACACTTTTCTTCGCCCGCTATCCCGCCGCAGTCGCCCACCATGTCTTACACCGTTCGCAAGATCGGCCAGGCCAACACCCTGGAGCACCGTGTCTACATTGAGAAGGATGGCCAGCCTGTCTCTCCCTTCCACGACATCCCTCTCTACGCCAACGAGGAGCAGACTATCCTTAACATGGTCGTTGAGATCCCCCGCTGGACCAACGCCAAGCAGGAGGTATGGGGGCAGAAACACTCAGTATCGCAAAGTACGGGCGCTGATTACGTGTGAAGATCTCCAAGGAGGAGTTCCTCAACCCCATCAAGCAGGATGTCAAGAAGGGCAAGCTCCGTTACGTCCGTAACTGCTTCCCCCACAAGGGTTACCTCTGGAACTACGGTGCCTTCCCCCAGGTATGTTTCGCAACGCTAAAGATGCCGCATGGTTCGATCTGTTGACGGTCTGCTTTAGACCTGGGAGGACCCCAACACTGTCCACCCTGAGACCAAGGCCAAGGGTGACAACGACCCTCTCGATGTCTGCGAGATCGGTGAGCTTGTCGGCTACCCCGGTCAGGTTAAGCAGGTCAAGGTCCTTGGTGTGATGGCCCTTCTTGACGAGGAAGAGACCGACTGGAAGGTCATCGTCATCGACGTCCAAGACCCTCTGGCTGCTAAGCTTAACGACGTTGAGGATGTTGAGCGCCACCTGCCTGGCCTCCTCCGCGCCACCAACGAGTGGTTCCGTATCTACAAGATCCCCGATGGAAAGCCCGAGAACCAGTTCGCTTTCTCCGGCGAGTGCAAGAACAAGAAGTATGTTTAAATGGCCCACATATTTTGAAATTTGTATGATGTCTAATACGCTTATCAGGTACGCTCTCGATGTTATCCGCGAGTGCGCTGATGCTTGGGAGAAGCTCATGACTGGCAAGTCTCCCAAGGGCGAGATCAGCACGTAAGTATACATTCTCCTCCGTGGGAAGGCTAGACATGCTGACCAGATTCTATAGCGCTAACGTCACCGTTGCGAACTCCACCGACCGTGCTGACGCCGGCAAGGTTGCCGATATCCCTAAGGGCCAGAACCTCCCCCCTGCCCCTATTGATGGCAGCGTTGATAAGTGGTTCTTCATCTCTGGTGCTGCTGTGTAAATTGATACCAACGAAAGTAAATAAAAAGTTCCACAATTTTGGATTCAACCCATGGGCGAGTCCACGTAATTTTACCCGATCTCCTCGTTATTTTCGTTGTTTGTCTTGCCCGTATTACTATACAACCTCCGCTAAACATCAAAAGGATGTATTTGCGATGTTTTGTAGTTCGTA